GCTCACTGTAGTGTGAGAGTTGGCATGGAGGTGTGTGCTTTGCAGCCATGTGTAGGTGTGGGTTAGCTCAGAATCCATCAGTGCCGACTTCCTGGGCTTGTGAGGAACCCTGGGACAGCTTAGGACCCACACAGCCCTGGGCCCCAGGAGCTGAGCAGGTGCAGAAGCTCGCCATGGAGAAGGACTGGCATATGCTGTGTTTTTATTCTTTTTTGATTGAAATGTAACAAATCAAGGGGCAGGTGTTGAGCCACCTGTTGGGACATCAAAGTTCAAGTGCCCACTGCACTTGTGGTGGGCTTCCTGCCACTGTGCACCCAGAGAGGCAGCAGGTGGTGGCTCGGGCACTGGGGTCCCTATTGCCCATGTGGGAGTGGATTCCTGGCTTGCGGAACTTCCAGGAGCCAGGACCTCAATCCAGGTGTCCCATGTGGATGGCAGGGACTCCAGTCCCTAAGCTGTTAATACTGCTCTGACAGCACGCATTAGGAGGAAACGAGTCAGAATCCGGAGTCTCCGACCCAGTGCGATCCCGGTGACAGCTCACCACCAGGCCAAATGCCTCTCTCACAACTGTGCAAAAACACTGCAGTTTTGCTTTTCTCAGTGAGGTTATTAATAATCGCCCCGGGGTTAATCCTTTACTTGTTGTATGTAATGTGACCCAGTTCTGGCCTCTCTTGTTCCTGTCCCTGTGTATGTGGCTGGCACCACCTGCTTGTATCACTGTGTGCCCAGCTCTGTTCTGCGCCCCATGGCTGTATCGGGACTCTCAGACTTGTGTGCAAGAAGCCTGCTCTGGGGCCACACGGCCTCCCACCTCGTGGCTGCCCAGGGCACCCACTCAGTGCTGGGCCTTTGTGGATGTGCCCCTTTTAGGATCTGCTGACCCAACTCCAGCAACACCTCGGTCGGAAGCAGATTGGGACAGTGTGGGTCAGTTTCCCAGGTGGATGTCCGCCACAGACCCTGGAAGCAGGCATCACACTCAGCGGTGAGCCAAGGAAGGCCCCCCCTGAGGCGGGGAAGAGGTGCTGGCACAGGCAGAGTGGTACCGAGACCTGCAGACACATGAAAACTATAGGGGTAGATGGGCATTCAGCCAGGTAGCCTCATACAGAAGTCATACCCCAGTCTTTGTCACTGCAACACCAGTAAGAAAAGGCTAGTTGTTGAAGCACCATTTACCAGTAGCATCCAAACATAAATAATATGAATGAGTAAGCTCTTAGAAGAGTGCTCACCACGTTGTTAGGACACAATGACCAGATCTGGTTGAGAGATGCTTAAGGAAAACCGCCGTGAGTGGAGAAAGGCTCCATGTCCATGGGTTGATACAAGACTTGCACCATGCCCAAATCCCCGGGGAAGAGGGGAGCTGCTGGGGGCTGCTCGGGAGACCCTTGGAGCTGGCACCTGGGGGAGGAAAGTGCAGGGAGGCAGGGGTCTGGCCAGAAGGCAGTAGGCGTCCAGGCCATTTGTAAAATGACATCTGGGTGTTATCTTTGGAAGGCAACGTGCTATTGCTGCTTTCTGTCTGTCCACAGGGACATGGGCCATCTCTCCGCTAAGGGTCCTGTGTGCGGATAGAGCTGGGTAGAAGTTACTATGACTTAATCAGGAATTCAGGGATCGTCAGCAATAACTCACTGAATTTAGTAATCGCTGGTAATTCAACTTTGTTCCTGCTCGCTTTGTACTGAGAACATAAACCTCATAGAAAGGCAAGAAGGCTTCGTAGTTAAGGCCCGGACTCTTGCCTCTGGGGAGTCGGCTTCTTGCTTGTTTTGTGTGTAGCTCTTTGTGGGGGGACTTGCGGCTAGGACCACGCTGTGCTCGGCTGTGTGGGGCTGTGAAGCAAGTTCCTGGGCAACGGCTCCCTCCCTTTGGCCTGTGGTTCTGCAAGCTGGAAGTTCCAGCTGCTGAATTTCTTTGTTCCATTGGGAGTGTTTCCAGATGGGTGCAGTGCCTGAGACTGGAGCTGGGGTTAGGACAGGCAGCTGCCCTGTGGGCGGAGGAGGCCGAATCCAGGTACTCCAGCATGAGGTGTGGGTGTGCTTTTAATGACACATTTATTTGTGTATTACTTCTCTGTATTTGAAGAGCAGAGTGACAGAGAAAGTGGAAGAGAGAGGTCTTGGAGGTTCTAGTCACTAACCTACTTGTAATGGACTTGCTCTTCCAGTGCTCCCTGCTGGGCACGGGCGGCCTAGTCCGTGACACCTGCCCTCAGAACATGTGGCTGTGGGGAAGGGGTGCCACAGGCTGACTGGCAGCACCTCTAGTCTAGCTAGGAAGGAAGCAGCCTGGTGGGAAAGAAGGCAGGAGGCCGCCAGGGCAGTAGAGAGCCTGAGCGGCTGGGCCTGGCTGTAAGGAGAGATGTGCCAGAGAGCCGTCTGTCCACACGGGGCCGCTGGTATTGGATATAGTGGAAACTCAACCAAGAAGGATCTTACACATCTTTTTTTTTTTTTAAGATTTATTTATTTTTATGGGAAAGTTAGATACACAGAGAGGAAGATCTTCTGTCCAATGGTTTATTCCCCAAGCAGCCGCCACAGCCAGAGCTGTGCCAGTTTGAAGCCAGGAGCCTCCTCTGGGTCTCCCACGTAGGTGCAGGGTCCCAAGGCTTTGGGCCGTCCTCCACTGCTTTCCCAGGCCACAGGCAGAGAGCTGGATGGGAAGCAGGCTGCTGGGATTAAAACTGGAGCCCATATGAGATCCCAGCATGTACAAGGCAAGGACTTAGCCACTAGGCACTAGGCTACCACACTGGCCCTTAAACATCTTTTAAAATAAGCATAGGGCAGGTGGTTAAGAAACTGAGGTGCCCACGTGCCATGTTGGAGCACCCACATTCAAGTCCCAGCTCTACATGCAGTCCCGCATCCTGGAGGCAGCAGGTGACAGCTTTGCCCCTTAACATGTGAGGCCCAGCTCCCAGCGTCAGCTTAGCTCCATCCCAGCTCCAGCTGCTGTGAGCATTTGGAATGACCCAGTAAATGCAGGTCCTGTCTCTACCTCACTGTTTCTCCACCTCTAAATAAACAAATGGGCTGGCACGGTGGCACAGCAGGTACGCGTTGCATGGCACCAGCATCCCACATGGGCGCTGGTTCAAGTTCTGGCTGCTCCATCTGCTATCCAGCTCCTTGGCTTGTAGTCTGGGAAAGCAGTGGAGAATGGTCCAAGTTCTTGGGCCCCTGCATCCATGGGGGAGACTCGGCAGAAGCATCTGGCTCCTACCTTCAGATTGACTCCGTTTTAGGCGTTATAACCATTTGTGGGGTGAACAGCAGATGGAATATAACACTCTCCCTCTCCATGATTCTGACTTTCCAATAGCATTAAATTAAAAAACAAACTTATCTCAAAAACAAAATTAGGAAAAAATAAAATGAAAATCAAGGTTGAAAATAAGAGGTAAACAGGAAATGTAATGAAAGCAAAAGTGGTTTCTTTGAAAACAAAAACACTGCACCTTTGACCCCGAGTGAGGCAGCTGAGGCTACCAGCCGATGCCCATTCACGCTGCAGTGCCTGGGTTCCACGCCCAGCTCCAGCTCCGGACTCCAGCCTCCTGCCACTTCTATGTGGGGCAGCGGTGCCTGCTCGGGACCTCTGGGACCCTGCCACGCACAGCGATCCAGTCTCCAGGCTTGGGACCGGCCCGGCCCGGCCGCAGCACTCAGAACCACAGGTGGAAGCCCACACTGTCTCAAGACATGCCCGAGGGGCTGTGTGAGGAACGCAGGCCAGTCCTCCACCCCATGTGGGCGCTGGCTCTTGTCCCAACTGCTCCCCTGCCCATCCAGCTGCCTGCTTGTGGCCTGGGAAAGCCTTGGGACCCTGCACCTTCCTGGGAGACCTGAAAGAGGTTCCTGGCTCCTGGCGAGCCCAGCTTCAGCCATGACGACCATTGGGGGATGAACAGCACATGGCAGATCTTTCTTCTCTTACTTGCTTTTCAAAGAAAAATAAAATTTGTTTTAAGCATCAAAATTTCTCTAAAATTTTCCAAACTAAATTTAGTGAAGAGTGACCTTGTTCATCGTGTACGTGGCAGTGGCGTCGGGAGGCAGCTGCGTCAGGGTCTCACGCTTGGCTGGAAGGCCAGCTGCTGAGAGGACTAGGTCCTTGGGCTTTGCAGCCCTACACACGCGTCAGCATGTGCGCTGGTGAATGTGCTTCTCAAGGTTACCACCTGCCGCCTTCCGTGGGCAGCCCTGGGCCGGGGCGTGAGCGCCGCGCCTGGGAGCCGTGTTCGAATCACACGCCACCGCCGGCAGCCTTTCACAGAGCCGCGAGCCACCTGCTGCTTCACCTCTGTGCTCCTAAGAATCAGGTGGAAAAGCCCAACACGCCGCTAGGGAAGTCGGAAGGCCAGTGTCACGTGAGGGGTGTGGTCGGCGCCACGCGGGTGTGGTCGGTGTCACGGGGAGGGCGTGGTTGGCGTCGTGCGGGTGTGGCCTGTGTCACGTGGAGGGCGTGGTTGGCGTCGTGTGGGCTTGTCTGTCACGTGGAGGGCGTGGTTGGCGTCGTGTGGGCTTGTCTGTCACGTGGAGGGCGTGGTTGGCATCGCGTGGGTGTGTCTGTCGCGTGGAGGGCGTGGCCGCCAGTGGGTGTGGCCCGTGGGCGTGGCCCAGGCCGCGGCAGTCTGAGGGGAGCCTCGCCGAGGAACAGGGTGGAAGGCGGAGCTCTGAGGCGGTGGCGTGCGGTGAACGTCCGGAAGGAGCGGCGGGTTGGGCCGTTCGCGGGCCGCCAGGTGCAGTTAGTCCTCAGAGCTGGGCCCGGCGGAGCCCCGACAGGCAGAGGCAGCCGGGCGCTGGCGGGCGGCGCTGGGCTCAGAGGAAGCGTGTGGAGGAGCGCTCGGAGGAGGGTGGGGAGCCTGGAAGCTTCCTTCCCGGCTGGCTGCTCGGGAGCTGGCCTCGTGGCCCTCGTGGGCGTCGTGGCCCCTGTGGGCCTCGTGGGGCGTCGCTGACGCGGCTTTCTGCTTGCAGATGTTCCGCCTGCCGATCAGGAGAAGCTCTTCATCCAGAAGCTGCGGCAGTGCTGCGTCCTCTTCGACTTCGTCTCCGACCCGCTGAGTGACCTCAAGTGGAAGGAGGTGAAGCGGGCCGCGCTCAGCGAGATGGTGGAGTACATCACCCACAACCGCAACGTCATCACCGAGCCCATCTACCCCGAGGTGGTCCACATGGTGAGTGACCCCCGCGTGCCGCCCACCCTGACCTTGCGGGGAATCCGGGCGTTCTGGAGGAGCTGCTTGAATCTTACCCTCCTTGGAGCTGGGATCCCCAGCTATTGGGGAGTCATTGTTACTTAGGATAAAGTCTAGGGGACCAGCGCTGTGGCGTGGTAAGCACAGCTTCGGCCTGTGGCGCCAGCATTTGCGTCCCGCTGCCCCCTTGCCACCCAGCTCCCTGCCTCTGGGACGGCCACGGCCTCGGGACCCTGTGCCCGCGTGGGAGACCCGCAGGAGGGTCTTGGCTGCCGGCTTGGGAGGAGCCGTTTCTCGGCGTTGTGGCCACGTGGGGAGTGGATCAGCAGGTAGACCACTCTCCTCTCTTCTCCACTCTGTAACTGCTTCTCAGAAATAAAATATTTTAAAAATCTCTTTGAAAAAGAGATAAAATTTTAAACCTTGATTTTTATGGCACTCTCTTAAGTTACTGATAGCTTTCCAGAGTGATGTAATTGAGAATTGACTGTTGAGCCAAACTTTGAAAGGGAAAAGTTCTAGGGAGAAGGGAGGGACACAGGGAGGTCTGCTCGTTCCCTCCCCGGTTGGCCACGTCGGGCCGGGCCAGGCTGGAACCTGGAACTCCAGGCAGATCTCTCCCATGGTGCAGGGCCCAAGCACTTGGACCGACCCGAACTGCTTTGCTGGACACATTAGCAGGGAGCTGGGCACAGGTGCTCTCGTGGGGTGCGGCTTAACCCTGTGCTGCCCGGAATGGTTGTAGCTCGGACCGCTGTGTCAACAGTGGGGATCCAGTGTATTGTTTTCCATTTATTTACTTACTCATTTAAAGGGCAGATCTTCCATCCATTAACTTCCTCCCCAGATGCCTGCAACATCTGGTGCTAGGCATAGCCCAAACCAGGGCCCAGGCACTCCATTTGGGCCTCCCTCCTGAGTGGTAGGGCCCCATCTGCTGCCTCGCAGGGTGCTGGTTGGCGGGCCGCGGGCATTTGAGATCAACGACTCCAACGTGGCATGTGGGCACCACATATAGAGTGGAGTTTTTTGTCTGTTTGTTTGTTTGTTTTACTACTACTATTTGAACAGCAGAATTAAAGAACGAGACAGAAATCTTCTATCCCCTGGCTTACTCTCCAAAAGGCTGCCACAGCCAGAGTTGGACCATGCCAAAGCCAGGAATCAGGAACTTCTTCTGGGTCTCCCACTTGGGTGACGCGACCCAAACCCTTGGGCCACCTTGTGCTGCTTCTCAGAGCCTGAGCAGGTTCCCGGGCCAGAAGTGGAGCAGCCAGGACATGAAGCAGCGCTCAGGTGGGATGCCTGCGTGCAGGCAGTGGCTTACTTGCCAATCTCCCTCCTCCGTAGTTGTTCCCCTGCTCCCAGTGCAAAGACTTCACTGTGCCCAGCCCTGTTGTTAACTCTTTAAGTTCACAGTTTACCAGAGTAGCCTCTGTGTAGCTGGCCTGAAGTTCTGTGAGGACCATCTGGGTTCTTTGCAGTACCTAGAGTGATGGGCAGTTAGCAAGTACAGGTAAATTCCTATCTTACCTGGTAGACTAAGGCAACTTGGTGAATATGTTTTGAATTTTGCTTAATTTCAACTCCCAGTTGCTCTAGAAGGCTGCCCAACCCCAGAATCATAAGGAACTATCTTGGGATAGCCCATGTGGCTCAACTGTTTCAGCCATGTCTTGGAATGCTTATATTAGAGTCCTTCCTGGCTGTTTTGTGCTTCTGACCCGGCTCCCTGCCTGAGTGGCCTTGAGAAGGCAGTGGACAATGAGGGCCCACGTGCCCTGGGCTCCTGCCACCCATGTGGGAAGCCTAGATGGAGTTCCTGGCTCCTGGCTTCCTTCTGACCAACGGTCAATGTTGCTGCCATGTGGAGAGTGAAGCATGGATGGGAGAGCTCTGTCTGCTCTGCCACTCCACTTCCCAAACAAGCCTGTCTCTCCTGCTCTCTGTGTATCTGCCTTTCCAATGAAAATAAGCTAATCTTTAGAATATGTTTTTTTAAATTTTTAAAGAAGAAAAAATCTCTGTTTCTCCCAATACGTCCATGATTTTATTCTTCATTTTATAATGTCCTTGGAACTTTTTTCCTCTGGTATAGATTAAGAATGTGAATTCAATACTTCTAAATTGGTTTTCTCCCTGGAATTATTGAAAACTCTTTTTTTCTGTAAATCATACTGAAATATACCATTCCCCACATTAATTTGAAGATCCTTAGCATATATTAAATTTAATATTAATTTTAAGGTATATCTATTTTTTCCTTCTATTTTCCATGGGTTCTGGGATTTATCTTATCCCCTCTCCAAGTTCCCTCCCGCCGCTTATTTCCCTCCTATTGTTGCAGTAGTATAGTCCTTCCTAAGCAGTCATGAGTCCATCACTCAACTGTGTGCGTCCTGACACTGCCAGTACAGACAGTGGCAGACAGTCCAGCAGCCCATTGTCAAGACAGAGCCAACAGTCTCATGGGGAGTCCATCTTTGATCTCGAAGTAAAGATGCACACTGCATTGTATCCTCACCTCTGGCTATGATAGTGTCTGTTACACAGTTACTATACATCCCCTTAAATGAGAAGCCATAAAACAACATCAATAATAGAAAGAAAATTTTTAAAATTTAGAGCACCATGGAATTAAGTCACATGCTGCTGAATAACCAATGTCAATAAAGAAATGGGGGGGAAAAAAAGAACCTTCTTGGAGAAAGTGATGTTACTGTGTGATCTGTGGGTCCATGAAGAATTTAATAAGAGAAAAGAAATTATTTTGAAGAAATGAAAATTAAAATACCAAAACCTATTGAAGGATTATTGATCTTATAATTTGCATGAACATATGGTATTTGCCCTTTAGGAACTAACTTATTTTTTTTTATTTTTTTTTTATTGGAAAGGCGGATATACAGAGAGGAGAGACAGAGGAAGATCTTCCGTCCGATGATTCACTCCCCAAGTGAGCACAACGGTCGATGCTATGCCGATCCGAAGCCAGGAGCCTCTTCCGGGTCTCCCACGCGGGTGCAGGGTCCCAAAGCTTTAGGTTGTCCTCGACTGCTTTCCCAGGCCACAGGCAGGGAGCTGGAACGGAAGCGGGCTGCCGGGATTAGAACCGGCGCCCATATGGGATCCCAGGCATGCAAGGCGAGGACCTTAACCACTGCACCACTGCTCCGGGCCCAAAATTTGTACTTATTTTAAAGACAGAGGCAGAAAGAAACAGAGAGGCAAAGATTTTCTGTCTGCTGGTGCACCCCCTAGATGTCCAAAACAGCTAGAACTGAACTAGGCCAAAACCAGGAGCCCGAGTTCAATCTGGGGCTCCCATGTGGTAGCAGGGGCCCGTGAACTTCAGCATGTCTGGTACATGGTGTGAGACATGATGGCCAGCTCCCTTGTCAGAGGATGGAGAGCAGGGGCCTGGTATGATGACGGATTTGGCTAATCCTCCACTTCCATGTGCTGGGTTCCAATATGGGCATCATCAGTTCACATCCAAGCTGTTCCATCTTTCATTTATCAAGCTGTTCTCTGCTTGTGGCCTGGGAAAGCAGTGGAGGACGGCCCAAAGCCTTGGGACCCTGCACCCATGTGGGAGACCCGGAAGAGTCTCCTTCTGGCTCCTGGCTTCACATTGGTTCAGATCCATCTGTTTTGGCCATTTGGGGAGTGAACCAGTAGACGGGATATCTTTCTGTCCCTCCTTCTCTCCGTATATCTGCCTTTCCTATAAAAATAAACATTTTTTAAAAAAGAGTGTGTAGAGTAGAACACACTGAATAATTATCGTAACCAAGCTTTGGCAGCGTGTTCTGGGCTGTGGATACACTAAGGTGGACTTTGACCTTGGAATGATTGCCTCAACCCTGGAGCATTGAGACCAACAACTTCTTAAAACTATCAAAACCGCTCAAGTGGGCCCGGCGTTGTGGCCTAGCCACTAAAGCCCTTGCCTTGAATGTGCCGGGATAGCATATAGGTGCCAGTTCTAGTCCCAGCAGCTCCACTTCCCACGCAGCTCCCTGCCTGTGTCCTGGGAAAGCAATCAAGGACGGCCCAAGGCCTTAGGACCCTGCACCCACATGGGAGACCTGGAGGAGGCTTGAGGCTCCTGACTCCTGGCTTCAGATCAGCACAGCACCAGCCATTGCAGCCACTTGGGGAATGCATCATCAGATGGAAGATCTTCCTCTCTGTCTCTCCTCTATATATGTATCTCTGACTTTCCAATAAAAACTAAATAAATCTTAGATAGCAGGATGGTAAGGTTTAAATCCAAATATACCAATAAACACAGCGAAAAACAAATGCCTGAATAAATCAACCAAAAGGCACATGCTGTTGCTGGGCTAGAGAGGCCAGACCCAGTCCCATGTGACTCAAAGTGAGCCCACTGTAAGTATAAGGACAGAAATCGGTCCAAGCAAAGTGATAGGAAAGACACCGTGCTGACACCGGCCGGCACACAGCTGGCATGGCCATGTCAGGATCAGGCAGGTAGCTGCACATCACCCACACAGCCACCACAGTGGTTTTGCTCCTATGTTTCCCTGTTGAGAGAGGTTGGAATGATTCGGGCTTAGACTCGGGCCTGATGAGCTCACACTGGGCTTGGGTGTCCAGGCAGCACAGAGGCCACCATTTTCGCAACCTTCAACTTGGGCACTGGAGCTTTGGTGCTGAAAACTATTGCTGGGTTGGAAATCCACAGCAACTTTATGTTTGCATCTTGTCTTTTCCTTCCCTCCTCAGCTTTCAGAGATGAGCCCTACCTTCACTCAGTGTGCTACAGCAAGAAAGGCAGGCAGCAGGCTACAGGTCCACCGTGTGCGTTCTTTAAAATAATAAAAAAAAAAAAAAGTTTTTTTTTTCTTTTATTGTAAAGGCAGATATATAGAGAGAAGGAGAGATAGAGAAAGATCTCCCATCACCTGGTTCACTCCCCAAGTAGCCACAATGGCCAGAGCTGAGCCAATCCGAAGCTAGGAGCCAGGAACCTCTTTCAGCTCTCCCACACAGGAGCAGGGTCCCAAGGCTTTGGACTGTCCTCTGCTGCTTTCCCAGGTCACAAGCAAGGAGCTGGATGGTAAGTAGAGCAGCCAGGACACAAACCGGCACCCATATGGGATCCTGGTGCATGCAAGGCAAGGACTTTAGCCACTGGGCTACCCCACCCTTGCCAGCACAGTGGATGCCCTCCTTGCCTTTTGCACTCCTTCAATAGGACTGATTCTGCTGTACCTCAGCATTGGTTGGTACCAGATGTCTTCAGAGTGTAACAGTTAAGAGTCAGAACCTAAACACATACACACACACTAAGAAAAAAAAGTAACAAAAAAAGAAGCTGTGGGGACAAGCACTCCTCCCCTGACAGTCCTGAGCCGAGGTCTCTGGGGGCCTGTACTTGCTTCTGAGTTCTGAAAGTGAGGCTGAGCTGGGTTCCCACTGTCCCCTGGGACCCCACTAAGAGGGCCACATCCTATGTGCTAGGTTCAAGTCCTGCTGCCCTTCTGACCCAGCATCCTGCTGAGGTACACTGTGGGGCAGCAGGCCTCTGCCACTCACACAAGCCCCTGCATGGAGTTCTAAGCGCCTGGCTTCAGCCTGGCCCTGCCTTGGCCTGTGCGGGACTGGGAGATCAGTGGATGAAACATCTTTTTCTATCTGTGTCTCCTTTTCCTAATAGGTAATTAAAAAAAATACTTACAACTTTTAGAGAATGTTCTCTGTAGATGGTTTATATTCTGGTTGTGATTTTAAAATATGTGGATTTTAGTTTGCAGTTAACATGTTTCGAACATTACCGCCTTCCTCCAATCCCACGGGAGCAGAGTTTGACCCCGAGGAAGATGAACCAACGTTAGAAGCAGCCTGGCCTCATCTGCAGGTACTGGGCACGGGTGTGAGCCATGCGCGCATGTCCCTGAGAGCCACAGGGCAAACACGTGACTAGGACTTCGTGTCAGCTGCCTTCAGTCGGTCATCAGTGGGAAAACCTGGCAGATCTGTGAATGCATGAAAGTATTCCGGCAGAATGGGGAGGGGAGGATGAGAGAGAGAGAGAGAGTGTGTGTGTGTACGTACATCTTACACACACTCCGCAGGTGGGGATTGTCACTCAGTCTTTGGATGTAGGCCTGGAGGCTTGTCGCAGACCTTTTCCTAGTTGTCACTGCTTGGGCTTAAGACCTGAGCTGACCAGTGCCTTTCCTGGAAGGATATAGAAGGTGGAAGGCACACTTGTCAGGAGGTGCCATGGCCAGGCCTGCTGGGGAAGGGGGGTTCACCCAGGAGGGAGGAGATTGAGGTGAGGAAGCGTGGAAGGAACGGGATAGTGACACGCAGGGTGAGGGGCATCATGGGAGGGAGCCTGCCATGCGTGCACCGTGCAGCTGATGGCTCAGCATCTGCATCTTGACTCCTCCTGCTTCCTGTCCCTGGCTGCTGTGCTACAAGACGCTGCGGGCGTGGGGGGGGGGGCGGGGCGGGCAGGCTGCCAACTCCTCCCCAGCAAGGCCACAACCACTGGCGGCAGCCGAGCCTCAGTGACATCAGCCATGAAAATCATGCCATCTAAATGTCATTGAAGGTTTTAGTCTGTAGCTCTAACTAGATACAGTAATTTCCATCAATTATAATTAAATTAAGCCACACATTTACATTAATTCTGTAGATATGTGGCTGTTGTAGAATTACATGAAGGCCACTAAAGATTCATCTTCTGGAATGTTTTAATCTCTAGTGAATAAAATGCTGTGTATCTGACTTTTTTTTTTCTTTCTCCTAGCTTGTTTATGAATTTTTCTTAAGATTTTTAGAGTCTCCAGATTTCCAACCTAATATAGCGAAGAAATACATTGATCAGAAGTTTGTGTTGCAGGTAAGGTACGACTCCACAGACGCCCCAGCGCCCAGGCAGCACGGCGATGCCTAGGCCCTCAATGTCTCTTTCTTTTTGAAGCTTCTAGAGCTCTTTGACAGTGAAGATCCTCGGGAGAGAGATTTTCTGAAAACCACGCTTCACAGAATCTACGGGAAATTCTTAGGCTTGAGAGCATACATCAGAAAACAGATTAATAATATATTTTATAGGTGAGTGCATGTATGGCTGGTCCTCCGCGGTCATCCCCATGGCCCCTGTGGCTCCCTCCTGGGCTGCTGTGCTCCCCAGCACCTCACCCCTGTCTTGCCAGTGTTTCCATTTTCGTGGGGATGTCCAGTTGCCCTGTGTCCAGGCAGCATGTCTCTGCTGGTGTGTGGCTTTGTCAGAGAGCAAGGGCAGGGGTCTGCAGAAGACCTCAGGTGGGCTGTGAATGCAGAGAACTGAAGACACCTGCCATGCTCCTGGAAAAGGACACTCCCAGGAGGCTGCGGTGAGGAAGCCAGGCACATGCCTGTCCTTAGCCCTGCGGGATCCCAGGCAGTGGACAGACACCCTAAGTCCTGGGCCTTGGGAAGAGGAAGCGGTTTTCAATTTGCAAGGCCCTCTGGAATGTTTCCAGAATAAGTGGTGGGTTTTCTGCATTCTGGCTTCTTGAGTCAGCTTGCTTCTTTGAGTATCTGGCCCCAGGATGACTTGGGGCTACAGCAGATCCTAGCAGGGACAGGGGAGTCTGGCACCATCCTTCTGTGAGATGAGAAGGTGAAGCTGCTGGAGGAGGGAGGCCCATGTGTCGCCTGGGGATGAGGAAGAAGAGAGCCGAGACGGGCCGAAGGCAGCAGCTGATCCCCAACTGTGCTGCCAGAACCGGCCTGCGTCCCTGATGCTGTTCTAGACCAGCAGGTGGCTGTGCGGAGGACCCAGCCAGTCTCCCAGGAGTGCCCCTGTCACATTTGAGCATTAAAGAGAGCCTCACATCTGACGTGTGCCTCTCCTTGAACACCTGCCAAGTCCCCACCGTCTGTTTCGTGGTGTTCAGAGCTGTATCCGAATGACGTCAGTCTCCCACCTGTCACCTTGTTCTGCATTGCTCGGCGTCATGCCTGAGGCTCTTACCAGCAGAACATGATGTGTCATTACACCACCCTGGACAGCTGCAGTCTCATTGAAATCCCTGTCTTCAGGCCTAAGTTGCAATGTTGCCTAAAGTGCTTTTGTGCTGTCGACTCTGAGGAGTCACACAGCAGTGAAGCCCACCTCAAGCTGCAGGAAATGTGGTCAGCGATTGCTAAGCGACCCGAGTAGGTGATTTTACTCAGAAGAGACTCCCATGGTTTACTCCAGCTGGCCCTCAAGGCTTGATACCACAAGGTGGTCTTTTTCTAGGTTGGCAGTCTTGCAGTATGTGAATTTCTGTCCTCTGTCAGCCATCAGAGCCAACATGTTGCTTGGATCCCAGAACTGGTCTGAGTGCTGCTCCTCAGGGCCACGCCTCCCCCTTTTCACATCATAGACGTCGGACACCTCGCACTGTGCACTCCGCTGTGCCTGTTAAGCAAAGCAGCACAGCTTCACCAAGTCGGGTAGAGAGTAATTCAGAAACGTGGTTCATCTCAGCACAAAGGTTAATGTAAAATTCCTGTTTATAACCAGGCTTTCCTTCTGGTCAGCTGCTGAGCAGCCAGATAAATAGGGCTCCAGGTGGCTCCGGTTGCCTGCTCTGGCCAGCAGCAGAAGCTGTGGGAGAGGAGGCTGCTGGAGTTAGCCACCAGCTGTGCCTGCTGTTGCCTCTCCTGGGCCCAGCTCACAGGACTGCTACTCCCTGGGGTGTCTGCAGCACCTGTGTCCTCAAGCAGGGGCTCTCAGCAGCAACTTCCTGGCCCAGCTGCCTCCGAGAAGGAAAGCTGGAACTGGGGTGAAGTGTCACCTCCAGCCGTGGTCTGATCAGAGCAGGTCGTGGAGCAGTCCAAACTCCAAGGGGAGGAAGGAGGCTCTGCCTCCATGTAGGGTGCACAGCACATGAGCCGCGAGGAAAGGGAGGCACAGTGCCCAGTTCCCAGCTCGTGGCTGACTACCAGCCTCACTTCTAAGCAGCAGCACCCAGCCTGCCGGAGTGCCGGGTGACGAGCTGAATGCGTGTGCACTTGCACCATTAGGAACCCACAGGTCGGATTCTGTCAGCTAACACATTTCTGAACGTAGGGAGCCCCTGAGCGCCGACCTCCAGGCCAGGCACCAAGGGACTCAGGTGCCAAGTTCCATCCTCACGTGCACATTGCTGTGTTCTCACCTCATGGTGCCTGTGGGGCAGGGTGTAGGACCTCTCCATCCTTCAGCCTCTGTTGCCACCTTGCCAACCTTCCAAACCCAGCTTGCCATTCACGGACCTTCAAAAGTTCCCCTCACAACTTGTACTCAGTCTCCCTGCTCCTCTCTTCAAGTTGGTTGGAGAATCATCCTTGATCCTGTTCTCCAGAAGCAGTTCCCACCTGTGGGGGTGTGAGGAGAGTACAGAGAGCCATCTGTGCATGCGGCTTCCGTGTGCCCAGCAGGAACTGGGTCCCACACCTCGCTTGGTGCAGGTGACTGCCTGCCTGGGTTAGACTTGCACTGTGGAAGTCCTCTGCAAGACGCCCATCTCCCCCTGACATGCCCCTCCCTCAGTCCTCAGCTTGTGAGCAGATGTGTTCCAAGTGTCACACAGATGCTGTGTGCGGTCCTGGCCCCGGGAAGTCCTGCTGCATCTGGAGAGAGAGCCTTCCACAGGGGTGGGTGCAGAGCCCAGGGCTCTCTGAAGCACGGCAGGCCCAGCAGGCCTGTGAGTGGGGGAAGTAGGTGGGACAGCTCAAGAGGAGTTCAGGAGAAACCTGTGCCCTTTAGGAGGCAGTGGGCCAGGACTAGATGTGTGTCTGATAAAGCAGCAGAGTTGGGGTGCTGATATGTCCCCCTGCGTTGTGGTGAGCTCTGGCCTGCAGTCCCCAGGCGTGCGCCCTGCCCTCCTCCTGTAGGCACGGTGTCCCTGTTGAGAGGCTTCTCATCCTCCTGGCTGTCCTCTCAGGGTCCGATTCTGATGCACAGCTGCTTTTTTTCCAGGTTTATTTATGAAACAGAGCATCACAATGGGATAGCAGAATTACTGGAAATACTGGGAAGGTAAGTCGGTGCTGGAAGGACCCCGTTCCAGGGTGAGGCAACTTTAACTGTTCTCTGATGAAATCTCAGTGACATCCACCCTGTGGGTTACCACTGCTGGGGGGCAGAGCTGTCCCAGCAGCCTGGCATTGCCATGGAAACACCATGTCAGATGTTCCCACAAGCAATGGTAAAAATAGTTACCGAAGAAGGTTGATACTAGAAGCCTGTAAGTAGAAGAGATTGTGCATTTGAGCCATTGAATAAATGCAAGTATTTCAAAACACTTTGATGTTCCCAATTTTTTTCACCTGTATATTTACTTACAAAATAGCATTTCAAAAGTTTGATCACCTGAGTAAAGTCCTTGTTATTGTTTTTTTCAAATCAACTCACAGATTTTATGTCAGACTTTCATTCCCAAACAGCTCCTCAGGGTCCCATGGCTAAGAAGCCCAAACTTCCCTGGGTATTGGGCACCTGGAGAGCCTGTGGCAGCAAAGTCCATTGGCTCTCCAAGGTGGCTGGGCACGTGGGGACCTTTTCTTATGGGACACCACGACCATCTGACAGAGTGGTCCTGCATGGTGGTGCTGAAATATGATCTGGCAAAATAGCCATCCTCTCTGAGAGTGCCAGGAGTGGCCAAGGGGCTGCCCCAGCTCGCTGCCTGACCCTGGGCAATCTCCCCAAGGAGATAGGAAGAGGCCTGTGCTTCCCTCCCAGGTTCCCCCCCAGCTGGGTGAGCACTAAGCACAGCCACCATGGGTCATGCCCAGGGACCACCATGCTGCTCCCACCCCAGGGTTTGCAGTATGTGCCCTTGGGGTTTCCCAGTGTCTCTGAGCCTGTCTCCTGACTCACCTGCCCACAGTGCCACCATGCCTGAAAGTCACGGTACTGGGAGTTGCCCCTGCAGAGGTTAATGAGCCTCTGCCCAAGGATGAAACCAGAGGGTGAGCCCAGCTCGGAGGCAGGAGCACTGACTCCAGCGTGGAGCCAACCAGCAGGATACCCTGTCCTTGCAGAAGGGAGCAGCTGTGGTACTTGACCGCTGGCATGAGTGGGCACCTGCAGCTCATGGCCACTTGCCCCCAGGATGTCCCTGCTGTTCTGTGAGACACCCCATGAAGGCAGAATTTTAAAATGATCTTGTAGTTATGAGATGGAAATGACACTTGATGTGTAATGTCTGCCATGTATTCCTTTCCCCGAAGTGTAGTTCACTGCTGGGTTCTTGTGGAAAATTAAGAGAAAAACCACAGATTGATTTACAATCTGCAATTTGTAAATGTTCAACTTCCAATCAATTCTCGTATTTTTTCTTCACAGTATAATTAATGGATTTGCCTTACCACTAAAAGAAGAGCACAAGATTTTCTTACTGAAGGTGTTGTTACCTTTGCACAAAGTGAAGTCTCTGAGTGTCTACCACCCACAGGTGAGGAAACCATGCTGCCGCTGGGGCAGAGCTGACCTCGCAGCAGCAGAGCCAGCCTTGTGAGCCTGCTTCCCCTGTCCTGCGACTGCCCGAGGACCAGGGCTCTGGCAGGAATTCAGAGGGGAAGGAGTGTAGACCAGCCGTCAGGTGCCTGGGTTCCAGTCCCAGCCCTGCTGGCGCCCTGGGAAGCTCCACGCGATGGCTCCAGGGTTTGGGCCCCTGCCCCACACAGGGCATAAATGGAGTCCTCAGCTCCTGGTGTTGGCCTGGCCCAGCCTTGGCTGTTGCAGGCATTTAGGAAATAAACTAGCAGGTAGTATTTCTCTTTCTCTCTCCCTCTCCCTCCCTTCCTCCCTCCCTCCCCTTCTTCAAATAAATAATTTTGTTTGATTTCTGTCTTTCCTCCTGTCTGTATATCTGACTTTCCAATAAAAAAAAAAATCTTAAAAATTCAGCTTCCTGCTAACATGCACCCTCAGGGGCTGCAGCTGGTCTGACACAGCTGTTTCTGTTGCTGCCACGGAAGACTCAGGAGTTCCACATGCCTGACTCGGCCTCACCCGCTTCTGGCTGCTGGAAACACTTGAGGTGTGACCCAATGGGTGGCAGATTGACCACTCTCTCGCTCCCCCTCTGTGTGTGTGCACTTGTCGAACTCTCAGATAAATGGAAATGTTTAAAAAACAATGGATTTTTCTTTTTTTGAGAGAGAATGGAAGAAAGCCTCTATCTGCTTGTTCACTCCCCAAATGCCTGCAGTGGCCAGGACTGAAGATGGGAGCTGGGTCTCAACCCAGGCCTCCCAAGTGAGTGACAGAAATATGATTATTGTAGCCACCACTTCCGCCTTCCGTTGTGTGTCATTTGCAGAAAGTGGAGTCAGGAGCCAGAGGCAGAGAGCAAGCACTGCATCCTGACGGGAGAAGCTGGGCTGGGCTGGGGGTGGGGCTGCTGGCCAGCATGGCTGCGCACTGGGGGGTAGGCTTCGTTTATCTGGGAGGCTTGGCCCTCCTTTCCTGGGTGCAGGTGGAGCGTGGCTGATGAAAGGTGAGGGGACGCCAGCCTCTGCCCACCTGCAGCTGTTCCCAGACCAGTGCCAGCAGGATGGCCACAGTGTACATTCCAGAGTGCCTAGCACTCCCGTGTGAGACTGCAACAAGGGATAAATGATAAATTCCAGAAAGTGTTTCCTGCAGTAGATCCCGATGACTCTGGCCTCCTGGGAAACATTAGACACACCGTCTCTGGGGGCACCAACAGGTACTATTTCTGCATCCAGCCAGATTATAATTGTTCTCTTCCAGCTGTTGGATGAAAAGTTCACTGTAGTCTCCAGCAGAAAACTCCATCACATTGGTTTGGCTTGACACTGGCACTGATCTAATCAGTGTGTCCCATTCTGTTTGGTTCTTAGCTGTCTATCACCAGTTAGCAGGGAACCACCTTTGAGCATCAGCCCTGGGATCCCATCCTGAGGCTGGACCCAGCAGTCTCCTGGGGCGCCGCCAGGCCACAGAGGGCTTACTCTGGGGCAGCATCTTGCCGTGGGAAGCGTGCTGCAGCGGTTCCAGAAGAAACAGCCATGTTTCTGTATAGACAGAAAGCACTAATGCTCTTGCTCTGCCTTCTTCCAGCTGGCCTACTGTGTTGTGCAGTTTCTAGAAAAGGACAGCACCCTCACTGAGCCGGTAAGCACCCGTTCTCTCCCTGCCTGGGGCCCCGACTGGTGGGTGCTTTTGTAATGTGTGTGTGTGTTGCCCCCTTGTGAACACCGTGTGCCATCTGCCTTGCCAAATAGCATTCAGACAGGCCGTTCCTCTGCAGCCAGGCGCCAGTCTGTGCTGGGGTGCGCAGGCAGCCCTCTCGCTCTGCTCTCCCTGAGTGCAGTGCTTCCTCTGTGCGCTGACATTGCACCTTCCCCTCTCCCACATTTTGCTCCTTGAACACAACAGGTGAATGCCTCCTGCGGGAGTAGGATGCAGGTCCACCCTGTGGTGTGTGCGCCTTCAGCTAGAGGAAGCTCCCAGGTCACGTGCAGCCCGAGGGAGGCTCTGCTGCCTCTGTTCTCACCCCTTGGGCTCTAACAGTTGCACCATCACTGAGTCATAAACGTTAGGTGCCTACCACTCAAGGGATCCATTTCTAATTTTCTTAGCACTTTATCTTTTTTAAAAAACCATTGAAAAGCTTTTTTGTAGCATAAGTTAACCAAATCAGGTGTTTAAACACACTGGGTTTTTTTTTTTTTAGAAGAGTTTAAGTATGTTTATTAATTACATTGCAATATGTGACACTGTCTCATAGGCTCTGGGATTCCCCCAACCCCTCTCCATACTGTCCCCGCATGGTGGATTCCTCCACCTTGTTGCAGTATTACAGTTCAAATTCAGTCAAGATTCTTTCATTGCAAGTATAGAGTCCAGCATCTTATTATCCAGATAAATTCAACATAAACACACTTTCTGAACTTGAGTCACAATTCACATATCATATTATAATCCATCCATTTAAATTGTACAATTCAGAGGTTGTTGGTGATTACATTATTTTTTAATGGTGATAAAATACAAACGCACAGTGCATGGCACCATGCAGTCCCCCTCTGCTCCCACACGTCTCCAGTCCTCCCCGGCAGCGCTGTGAACGGCTTCCTCTCTCACCTGTGATCCACCTTCTAGAAGGAGTGACCGCCTTTGTTTTGTAGATAGCTGCAAGATCAGGATGTCCTCATATGGTCAGCACGAGCTCTGGAGTGTTTCTTTTTACTATTATTATTATTTCACTGTTCTGGAACTTTTATTTTCTTAAGATTTTGTTTATTTGCATTGGAAAGATAGAGAAGAAGAGACAGAAAGCTCTTCCATCTGCTGGTTCACTCCCCAAATGGCTGCAATGGCCAGGGCTGAGCCAACCTAATCTAAAACCAGGAGCTTCCTCCAGGTCTCCCACGTGGGTGCAGGGTCCCAAGGCTTTGGGCTGTCCTCGACTGCTTTCCCAGGCCACAGGCAGGAAGCTGGATGAGAAATGGAGCAGCTGGAACATAAACTAGAGCCCATATGGGAACCCAAAACGTGGATGGAGGAGGAAGATTAGCCAGTTGAGCCAACATGCTAGTCCTACTAATGTGACTGCTTGAGATGCCTCCTGCCAATGGAATTAGAAATAGTTCTCCTTTTATACCTGATTTATCAGAGTTAGTGCTATGGTGAACATGGGTGCCCTCATGCTCGCACCTGTTGAGGCTCCTGGCTTCTGCTCCTTCCACCTACCCAGAGTGGGAGGGCTCAACTCAGGCCTTTTTTGCACATCCTGTTTCCCATGGCAGCAGCAATGTGTAGAGCAGACAGGTCATCGTCTTTTTTTCCTTTTTTAAAGATTTATTGATATTTATTGGAAAAGCAGTTCAGATTTACAGAGACAGACAGAAAGATCTTCCATCCACTGGTTCACTCCCCAAGTGGCCACAATGGCTGAATCTGAGCTGATTCAAAGCCAGAAGCCAGGAGCTTCTTTTAGATCTCCCACACAGGTGCAGGGTCCCAAGCTTTGGGCCATCCTCGACTGCTTTCCCAGGCCACATGCAAGGAGCTGGATGGGAAGTGGAGCAGCCGGGACATGAATGGGCACCTGTATAGGATCCAGGCGCTTGCAAGGCAAGGATTTAACCACTGAGCCATCGCACCAGGTCTTTCTGGTTCCCTTTGAAAAATCTCTTATCCATTGTGTTAGTTGGGTTGTTTTTATTAGCAACAAAGTAAAGAGCGTCAGATGCTAGTTGAGACATTTGAATGAACTTTGACAAGTTGCTCTAAGAATAGAAAAAGTATCAGTTTTCCACTGTTTCAGGGAAGCCCACTGAGCCCATATGAAGAATCTAGTCTCCCTCAACTGAGGCCTGAAGCCAGGAAGGCGAGAGGGTTGCCTCTGTCTGTTCAGCGCCCAGTGGTCTTTGTGCAGCACCCTCCCAGGGCCAAGCAGAGCGTCTACTGGCCCACCTCACTCTTCTTCTCCCTCTTAGTAAGATTTTTTCTTCTTTTTTAAACTTTTAATTGAAAGCCAGAGCAAGACAGGAATGTTGACAAACAGATTGAAATCTTCCATCTGCTAATTTTGTCTCCAGATTCCCGTGACAGCCAGGGCTGACCCAGACTGGAGCCAAGAGCCTGGAGCTCAATCTGCATTGCCCACGTCCTTGAGCCGCCACTTGATACCTGCCAGAGTGTAACAGGTGGCTGGAGGCACCAGGTCTCGTACCATTCTGTCCCACATGGAGCTCATGTCCCTACGTGCTGTGCCGAATGCCCTATGTGCGTCTCCCCCAGCAAACACACACTCCCATCTGAGCCCAAGCATGCAGGGATTGTGTCAGCCCTGCCAGCCCCTGAAAGAGAGCATTGTCCTACCACGTGCCCCTGACTGTCCTTCCAGAGGTTCTAGAGCCAGCGACTCCAATAAGGGTGCAGTCCCAGGCCCTGTTGTGTGGTTTGTGTGCCATTTGGTCTCATTTTCTCCCATGGTGACCACACCCTACGTCCTCTGTCTGCTTGGAGGTCTTCTGTGCACCAGAGGCCGAGAACCGCAGCTCCAGAGCACCATGTGGGGAATGCCATCCCCCCTTAGACTCTGCTTAGACATACAAGATTGTGTGAGGAAAGTAGGCATGTTTTTCCTTAGCCCTTCCAGAATTCCTGCTAATCTAGAAGGGTGTTTTTATTTTCTTATTTGTCAAACTCTTTACTTAGTGAAACATTGAGCTTTTGAATATAATATAGATTAGAAATACCAAAAATAATAATGATTAAAATTTAACTTAACTGCCTACTACCCAGTCTAACTCCTCTCTCAGTCAGACATCCTGAAGCTGCCGCAGAGAAGGCCATCCTGGACTCCCTTGCTAGCTGTTTGTCTTGGGCAGAGAACACCGCACCCAGAACCCCCCGTGGTCTGATATAGGCTGTAAGGGAGTTGGCAGCTCAAATAAGAGAGGTGGGAGGTCCCCACTGTGCCGCACACTACTGACTCACCCAGAAGGTGTGCATGTGTGAGCCAGTGCAGCGCCTGTGGGTGCTCCAGTTGTGTCATTCTTAAATGTATTTTCTCATGATTAACAGCATACATGATGTGTACAAGTGTGTCCAGGCAGCATCTTTCCAGTAGTTCACACAGATATGAAGCATGTTAAGATTCTGTCCTCCCCAGCTGGTCAGTGAAGGCAGCAGCTTGGACATTGTGGGTCTCGGAGCTTTCACTACCCCACTGAGCGCAGTCCGCTCCTGAACTGAGTGGCGCTCAGTGAAGATGTGACCTGCTTCCCAGAAGACATCGTGTGTTCCTCACTGTTCCTCTCCTGATTGTGCGTGTGTATGCACACACTTGTTTTTAAGGAGCTGACAGTGACATCATTGGCTCTTCAGAGAGAGTGGGACATGTGACTCTGGAGCACATACAACTTTGCCTACACTTCTACTTTTGCAGCTATACTAATTGCTGCTCCCTGTTGGTCTTATTCAGATGCTCTGTGCTGGGGACATGGCCAGGGCGTCACCTCTTGTGTACTCTCTTTCATAGGTGGTAATGGCACTCCTCAAATATTGGCCAAAGACTCACAGTCCAAAAGAAGTCATGTTCTTAAATGAATTAGAAGAAATTTTAGACGTAATTGAGCCATCCGAGTTTGTGAAAATCATGGAGCCTCTTTTCCGACAGTTAGCCAAGTGCGTCTCCAGCCCACACTTCCAGGTAGGCGGGACTCGGGCAGGGAGGGCAGGTGGTCCTGGAGTGTGTATAGCAGGAGTGTATACAGCAGGAGTGTATACAGCAGGAGTGTATACAGCAGGAGTGTGTGCAGCAGGAGTGTATACAGCAGGAGAGTGTACAGCAGGAGTGTATACAGCAGGAGTGTGTACAGCAGGAGTGTATACAGCAGGAGTGTGTGCAGCAGGAGTGTATACAGCAGGAGTGTGTGCAGCAGGAGTGTATACAGCAGGAGTGTATACAGCAGGAGTGTGTGCAGCAGGAGTGTGTGCAGCAGGAGTGTGTGCAGCAGGAGTGTATGCAGCAGGAGTGTATACAGCAGGAGTGTATACAGCAGGAGTGTGTGCAGCAGGAGTGTATACAGCAGGAGTGTGTGCAGCAGGAGTGTATACAGCAGGAGTGTATACAGCAGGAGTGTGTGCAGCAGGAGTGTGTGCAGCAGGAGTGTGTGCAGCAGGAGTGTATACAGCAGGAGTGTGTGCAGCAGGAGTGTGTGCAGCAGGAGTGTATACAGCAGGAGTGTATACAGCAGGAGTGTACAGCAGGAGTGTGTGCAGCAGGAGTGTGTGCAGCAGGAGTGTGTACAGCAGGAGTGTGTGCAGCAGGAGTGTGTGCAGCAGGAGTGTGTACAGCAGGAGTGTATACAGCAGGAGTGTGTACAGCAGGAGTGTATACAGCAGGAGTGTGTACAGCAGGAGTGTATACAGCAGGAGTGTGTGCAGCAGGAGTGTATGCAGCAGGAGTGTATACAGCAGGAGTGTGTGCAGCAGGAGTGTATACAGCAGGAGTGTGTGCAGCAGGAGTGTATACAGCAGGAGTGTGTACAGCAGGAGTGTGTACAGCAGGAGTGTATACAGCAGGAGTGTGTGCAGGAGTGTATGCAGCAGGAGTGTATACAGCAGGAGTGTATACAGCAGGAGTGTGTGCAGCAGGAGTGTGTGCAGCAGGAGTGTATACAGCAGGAGTGTATACAGCAGGAGTGTGTGCAGCAGGAGTGTATACAGCAGGAGTGTGTGCAGCAGGAGTGTATACAGCAGGAGTGTGTGCAGCAGGAGTGTATACAGCAGGAGTGTGTACAGCAGGAGTGTATGCAGCAGGAGTGTGTGCAGCAGGAGTGTGTGCAGCAGGAGTGTGTGCAGCAGGAGTGTATACAGCAGGAGTGTATGCAGCAGGAGTGTGTGCAGCAGGAGTGTATACAGCAGGAGTGTGTGCAGCAGGAGTGTATACAGCAGGAGTGTGTGCAGCAGGAGTGTGTGCAGCAGGAGTGTATACAGCAGGAGTGTGTGCAGCAGGAGTGTATACAGCAGGAGTGTGTGCAGCAGGAGTGTGTGCAGCAGGAGTGTGTGCAGCAGGAGTGTATACAGCAGGAGTGTGTGCAGCAGGAGTGTGTGCAGCAGGAGTGTGTACAGCAGGAGTGTGTGCAGCAGGAGTGTATGCAGCAGGAGTGTATACAGCAGGAGTGTGTACAGCAGGAGTGTGTGCAGCAGGAGTGTGTGCAGCAGGAGTGTATACAGCAGGAGTGTATACAGCAGGAGTGTATACAGCAGGAGTGTGTACAGCAGGAGTGTGTACAGCAGGAGTGTGTGCAGCAGGAGTGTATACAGCAGGAGTGTATACAGCAGGAGTGTGTGCAGCAGGAGTGTGTGCAGCAGGAGTGTGTGCAGCAGGAGTGTGTTCAGCAGGAGTGTATACAGCAGGAGTGTATACAGCAGGAGTGTGTGCAGCAGGAGTGTGTGCAGCAGGAGTGTATACAGCAGGAGTGTATACAGCAGGAGTGTGTGCAGCAGGAGTGTATACAGCAGGAGTGTGTGCAGCAGGAGTGTATGCAGCAGGAGTGTGTGCAGCAGGAGTGTATACAGCAGGAGTGTGTGCAGCAGGAGTGTGTGCAGCAGGAGTGTGTGCAGCAGGAGTGTGTGCAGCAGGAGTGTATACAGCAGGAGTGTGTGCAGCAGGAGTGTGTGCAGCAGGAGTGTGTGCAGCAGGAGTGTATACAGCAGGAGTGTATACAGCAGGAGTGTATACAGCAGGAGTGTGTGCAGCAGGAGTGTGTGCAGCAGGAGTGTATACAGCAGGAGTGTATACAGCAGGAGTGTGTGCAGCAGGAGTGTATACAGCAGGAGTGTGTGCAGCAGGAGTGTGTACAGCAGGAGTGTGTGCAGCAGGAGTGTGTGCAGCAGGAGTGTATACAGCAGGAGTGTGTGCAGCAGGAGTGTATGCAGCAGGAGTGTGTGCAGCAGGAGTGTATACAGCAGGAGTGTATGCAGCAGGAGTGTGTGCAGCAGGAGTGTATACAGCAGGAGTGTGTGCAGCAGGAGTGTATACAGCAGGAGTGTATGCAGCAGGAGTGTGTGCAGCAGGAGTGTATACAGCAGGAGTGTATACAGCAGGAGTGTGTACAGCAGGAGTGTATACAGCAGGAGTGTGTGCAGCAGGAGTGTATACAGCAGGAGTGTGTGCAGCAGGAGTGTATACAGCAGGAGTGTGTGCAGCAGGAGTGTATACAGCAGGAGTGTGTACAGCAGGAGTGTGTGCAGCAGGAGTGTGTGCAGCAGGAGTGTGTGCAGCAGGAGTGTGTACAGCAGGAGTGTGTGCAGCAGGAGTGTATACAGCAGGAGTGTGTACAGCAGGAGTGTATACAGCAGGAGTGTGTACAGCAGGAGTGTATACAGCAGGAGTGTGTGCAGCAGGAGTGTATGCAGCAGGAGTGTGTGCAGCAGGAGTGTATACAGCAGGAGTGTGTGCAGCAGGAGTGTGTGCAGCAGGAGTGTGTGCAGCAGGAGTGTGTGCAGCAGGAGTGTGTGCAGCAGGAGTGTATACAGCAGGAGTGTATACAGCAGGAGTGTATACAGCAGGAGTGTGTGCAGCAGGAGTGTATGCAGCAGGAGTGTGTGCAGCAGGAGTGTGTGCAGCAGGAGTGTATACAGCAGGAGTGTATACAGCAGGAGTGTGTGCAGCAGGAGTGTGTGCAGCAGGAGTGTATACAGCAGGAGTGTGTGCAGCAGGAGTGTGTGCAGCAGGAGTGTGTGCAGCAGGAGTGTATACAGCAGGAGTGTATACAGCAGGAGTGTGTGCAGCAGGAGTGTGTGCAGCAGGAGTGTATGCAGCAGGAGTGTATACAGCAGGAGTGTGTGCAGCAGGAGTGTGTGCAGCAGGAGTGTGTGCAGCAGGAGTGTGTGCAGCAGGAGTGTATACAGCAGGAGTGTGTGCAGCAGGAGTGTATACAGCAGGAGTGTGTGCAGCAGGAGTGTGTGCAGCAGGAGTGTGTGCAGCAGGAGTGTATACAGCAGGAGTGTATACAGCAGGAGTGTATACAGCAGGAGTGTATACAGCAGGAGTGTGTGCAGCAGGAGTGTATGCAGCAGGAGTGTGTGCAGCAGGAGTGTATACAGCAGGAGTGTGTGCAGCAGGAGTGTATACAGCAGGAGTGTATACAGCAGGAGTGTGTGCAGCAGGAGTGTGTGCAGCAGGAGTGTGTGCAGCAGGAGTGTGTACAGCAGGAGTGTGTGCAGCAGGAGTGTGTGCAGCAGGAGTGTGTACAGCAGGAGTGTGTGCAGCAGGAGTGTGTGCAGCAGGAGTGTATACAGCAGGAGTGTATACAGCAGGAGTGTATACAGCAGGAGTGTATACAGCAGAAGTGTATGCAGCAGGAGTGTGTGCAGCAGGAGTGTATACAGCATGAGTGTGTTCAGCAGGAGTGTGTGCAGCAGGAGTGTATGCAGCAGGAGTGTATACAGCAGGAGTGTGTGCAGCAGGAGTGTGTGCAGCAGGAGTGTGTGCAGCAGGAGTGTATGCAGCAGGAGTGTATACAGCAGGAGTGTATACAGCAGGAGTGTGTGCAGCAGGAGTGTGTACAGCAGGAGTGTGTGCAGCAGGAGTGTGTGCAGCAGGAGTGTGTGCAGCAGGAGTGTGTGCAGCAGGAGTGTGTGCAGCAGGAGTGTATACAGCAGGAGTGTGTGCAGCAGGAGTGTGTACAGCAGGAGTGTGTGCAGCAGGAGTGTATGCAGCAGGAGTGTGTGCAGCAGGAGTGTGTGCAGCAGGAGTGTATACAGCAGGAGTGTGTGCAGCAGGAGTGTATACAGCAGGAGTGTATACAGCAGGAGTGTATGCAGCAGGAGTGTGTGCAGCAGGAGTGTGTGCAGCAGGAGTGTATACAGCAGGAGTGTATACAGCAGGAGTGTGTGCAGCAGGAGTGTATACAGCAGGAGTGTGTACAGCAGGAGTGTGTGCAGCAGGAGTGTATACAGCAGGAGTGTATACAGCAGGAGTGTGTACAGCAGGAGTGTGTGCAGCAGGAGTGTGTGCAGCAGGAGTGTGTGCAGCAGGAGTGTGTGCAGCAGGAGTGTATACAGCAGGAGTGTATACAGCAGGAGTGTATACAGCAGGAGTGTGTGCAGCAGGAGTGTGTGCAGCAGGAGTGTATACAGCAGGAGTGTATACAGCAGGAGTGTGTGCAGCAGGAGTGTATACAGCAGGAGTGTATACAGCAGGAGTGTGTACAGCAGGAGTGTGTGCAGCAGGAGTGTATGCAGCAGGAGTGTATACAGCAGGAGTGTGTACAGCAGGAGTGTGTGCAGCAGGAGTGTGTGCAGCAGGAGTGTATACAGCAGGAGTGTATACAGCAGGAGTGTATACAGCAGGAGTGTGTACAGCAGGAGTGTATACAGCAGGAGTGTGTGCAGCAGGAGTGTATACAGCAGGAGTGTATACAGCAGGAGTGTGTACAGCAGGAGTGTGTGCAGCAGGAGTGTGTGCAGCAGGAGTGTGTTCAGCAGGAGTGTATACAGCAGGAGTGTGTGCAGCAGGAGTGTGTGCAGCAGGAGTGTATACAGCAGGAGTGTATACAGCAGGAGTGTGTGCAGCAGGAGTGTATACAGCAGGAGTGTGTGCAGCAGGAGTGTATGCAGCAGGAGTGTGTGCAGCAGGAGTGTATACAGCAGGAGTGTGTGCAGCAGGAGTGTGTGCAGCAGGAGTGTGTGCAGCAGGAG